CTCAACTGTTTTGCATTTTAATAAAAAAAATTTATTTCGCCACCAAATCTTAATCAGTTGTATTTATTATAATTTGGAATATCGTAATTGGATATTAAGCTTCTAAAGAAAGCTTTGTATTATAATTATTATCTTTATAAGGCCATTATACATTCCACGTTTATCATTAATTACTGATACTTTAGACAACTTTTCACTCTGAAATTGAATAATATCTTTAAAATCACAGTCGTTGTCCATGTATTCTAAAAAAATCTTGATCTATCCACCGGATTTCTCCAAATATACCAAATATGAAATAGAAAATTCATATCTATATCGGATCTTGATATATATATATATATATATATATATATATATAAAATCCGATGGAACGTGTAAACTACTTTGCATCTATCTCTCCCCAAGAAAATTCGAATGTGATTTAACATATATATATATATATATAAAGCTTGAGCTCATGCATCGACATATATATATGTATATGGAGGTCCCCACAATATATAATAGGAGATGAATCTTATGCCAATTCTCTCCAATATATTTCTTTGTTAAAAAATCATTATGCTTTTTGGTTCAAATCTTACTTTTTTGTTGTTGGGTTCATCTTATAAGCTTTTAAGAATCCATTTTTGTTGTGTACTACACCATACATATATGTTTTTTTTTTCTCTTTTCTTTTTTCCCCCATTATTTTGACACGTTTTACCATTATTCAAATATAATCTAAGCTACTATATCGTTATACCACAGACCCAAAAAACATATTATTTTATAGAAACAAAAAAACCTTTGTTTTATTAAATGTTAAGAAACCTTAATCTCGGGGACTAGAATATATGGTTTTTAAAAAAAATCTTTTCATAAGAGATGGTTACATCAAATACAAAATATGGTTCGGTTCGGTCCAGATAAAAAAGATAAAATTCTGGTTGTAAGTAATTAATTATGTTTTCGAACTTTAAAAAGGAGATTTTACCCCAAAAAAAACTTTAAAAAAGAAAAAGATGCGTAATTGCGTATTCGGACGCCTCGTTCACAGATGAAAACGAGAAACTGTTCTTGTTTTAAAACCAGAGAATACGCATGTCTGTTGACTCGAGAAGACAAAAACCTCAAATAGAACTGCTTGTCGTTTTTTCTCTTCGTCACGGTCTTGGACATTCGATTCAGTTATTCATAAATAGAATTGATCCAAATCGAATAACAGGCAACTGTGACCGACTTGAATTTGATATAAAATCAAATAGTTATGATATTTTATAACCGAAAAAAAAACAAATCGAATATAAACATAACCGATAACCCGTAATTTTTTTTAAAAAGTAATCATTTTTTTCATTAAAAACTAAACACATAACCGAACAGAAACTAACATAAAATCTAAATGGATATAAATTTTCTAAAACCTAAAAATCGAACCTAAAAAACAATCTCTAAATATCTATGAGAATATTAGCAGGGTTACTAGTTATTACATGTTTATGCTGTCGGCCCGTTTCCCCTAAATAAAGTAGTGGGCTTAATTCGGCCCATAGTTTTGGTAAGCATGATGATAGGTTCTGTTTCCATCCGCAACTGCTGTTTCTCTTTCATGTTTTCAGAAACCCAATTGAAATAAATTTTTTTAGAAATACTATGTGGTGAGTAAACGTGGAATTGGAAATACAACGTTCCATCCATTGGGCATTTTTCTTGTAAACCACAACCTCTTCATGTCCCTTGAATTCATCCATTGGGCTTGTCTTTTGTTATTCTTTATGGACGGCCCAATATTCTTCATCAGATTTTACCACAATTGGGCCCTCACCATAGCTCGGCCTCCATTTTCGGTTATAATCAATTATAATATATAGGGTTAATCGACAAAAAAACAGTATTTTTTTCAGGTCAACGAAAAAACTCTGTACTTTTTTTATTATCAATTAAATCCTGTACTTGGTGTGATTAATCCATAAAACTCCGTACTTTTTAAATATTCACCGAAAATCCCCTGCGGATGTCAACTCAAACAAAAATGATTATGTGGCAATGATATGACATCAACACATCATCATAATTATGTCACATCATCATTTCAAACAAAATTTAAATTAATTTCTTTATTTAAATTAATATATATACACACAAATTTCCACTTGGTGTGATTAATCCATAAAACTCCGTACTTTTTAAATATTCACCGAAAATCCCCTGCGGATGTCAACTCAAACAAAAATGATTATGTGGCAATGATATGACATCAACACATCATCATAATTATGTCACATCATCATTTCAAACAAAATTTAAATTAATTTCTTTATTTAAATTAATATATATACACACAAATTTCCACATATATATATATTAAAAATAAAATTATTTATAATTAATAAAATATATATACACATAACTACAATATATATGTATATTATAACTAATATATATACATTAAAATAAAAGTAATTATAATTAATTTTATATACATACATGATATATATTAAAATACATATTAAAAATAATATGTATATATATATATATTAGTTATACATGCAACATATATATAAATACAACTAATATGCATATTAAAATAAAAATAATTACAACTAATATATATATATATACAATATATATTAAAAAATAATATGCATATATATATATATTATTTATAATATAATTTATAATATATATATTGTAGATATGCATATATTTTTTATTAGTTATAAGTAATTTTATATTTAATATATATATATATATATATATATATGTATGTATGTGTGAATTTGTATGTATATATTTAATTTAATTTAAATTTTGTTTGAAATGATGATATGGCATAATTATGATGATGTGTTCATGTCATGTCATTGTCACATCATCATTTTTGTTTGAGTTGGCATTCGCAGGGAATTTTCGGTGAATGTTTAAAAAATACGGAGTTTTATGGATTAATCACACCATGTACAAAGTTTAATTGGTAATAAAAAAAAAGTACAGGGTTTTTTCGTTGACTTGGAAAAAATATAGGGTTTTTTTTTGCGATTACCCCTAATATATACACAAACAAGTGTATGTATATATATATATATATTATATTATAACGGGAAAAGTTTGAATTTGAGTCATCTACCTCTCCCAAAATATGGAAGACATCTGGGTGAATACCATTCTCCACGCTTAAATTTAAATTCGGGTAAGAAGATGCTCACATATTTATTTTGTCTATTCCTTTCGGAGCTAACGTGTACGTAGATCTGTTATGTTATACGCAGAGAAAACAAATATAAATTTTGTAATAACGATTCTGATGTTTGCTATTTTGACAAAACTAATAAATAAAAACTTCGCGGGGGAATTTGTAAAATTATAATGGGGGTATAACCAAAGAAAATGAGGGGGGGGGAGTTGAGTCATTTATTTCATTGGCCCATAAAGTTAAGGATCAGATTCGAATGATGATGGGTTTTGATTGCGCAAACGCAAACTCTGCATTTTTTCAAGGAAGGCCCAATCGAAGTAATTAAAAAGCATATCCTTAATTAATCTAAGTTTTTTTTATAAGTGGTTGCCCCGATCTTCGACCTGACTACATCCATCCTAAATCCGGGATAGATCTTTGTATATGGATCATTTTGATCCACCAATTACATCTCTCCCTATTAATAGAATCGAATTCAGGATCTTGAAAATGATTTTATCACTTCTCGATCACGGGTCCAATTATTGGGTTAATTAATTTAAGTTATAGAGGGGTTTGTATTTAAACGTATTTGCATGAAAAACAATAACAAGATTACAATAAAGAATTATTCCCATTAACTGTGTAAGAATTTTGAATCACAAATATGCATGTATGATGAAATATTACATAACGTATAATAACCATGCATGTGCTTGTGTAAAGCATCTCCCCATTGTTATAAGCCATGTATGTTCCTCTCGTGTATCCTCGTGATAAATCGGGAGGCTCTCTCGTCCACGTCGCTCAGCTCCGGATAGGGTTTCTTCTTCGTCCAGCTTTCTCCGTATTGCGCGTTCTCTATACAAATCTCACGTTCTACGGTGACTTCAACCTCGCCGGAAAACTTTACCGGCGACTTTTCGGTTGGCGGCGGGGCCGTGACGGAGAGAGTCGGTAGCCTCACGATGCTGAGTAACAGCTCGATGGATTTTCGGGGAAGAGATAGAGATCTTTTCTTTTTTCTCATTTGTATTTTTTTTTTTTGGAATTTGTTGATTTTGTTGTGAGTTGATCGATAATCTCTGTAGGGGGAGGATTATAATTTATAAATGGATATAAAGAAGGTTGCTTCTGAAATTGAAAAACGTGGAATTGTTTCCTAAAGTCAAAAGTGATTCTGTGAAGTGGGGTTCTATTACAAACCATACATAATATTCTCCACATAAAGTATTCATACAATTATGACGGTATATTTATATCTATAACCAATAACGTTACAAATTATTATCATTATAGAGCAATTCTTAATATAACATATACATATAATTAAATATCTGGAAACATGTTGTTGATAATATCCCATGCACAAACTATTTTACAAATAAATATAAGTATCATCACATAGTTTGGATATTATTGTTCACACGCATATATACATATACACACACATAATTTGCCACGTTATTGAATCAATCAATCTTTAAACAATTAATTAATTAATCATATGATGCTATTTTTAGTATTCTTTTATTGGTAGTTTATGAATGCTAATAATTTCAAAGAACCGATAACTTTTAAATTACTACGGGTCGCATATTCGCATAATTTCAAGCTCAGACCTCCGTTTCCGGATATTGGATCTTATATAAAAGGCCCAATTTCAAAGATTCCGATAAACAAAAGCCCAAGTTAAAGAACGGTTGCCGAAGTGAATCTTGTCGTTTTCATCATCCTCACTCAGTCGCGGGATCCGCTGATCGAACCGCCGGCACTCGCGAATGGGAGATTCCGGAGTTTGATCGATCGAGATCGTGTTTCACACTGATCGATTCTGGGATTTTAACCAAATTACGATGACATTAACAGAGAGAATCGATTTCACGCAATTTACACACGTGTTGCATTAACCTCCGACATATCTATCCAAACCGCCAAAAACAAGAAAAGAATCTCTGTATCAAAGAATGAAAGATTTCTGTAGTTTCTACATGTGTGTTCTCCGGTGTACATGGCCGTACGGCGCATGGGTGAGCTACTGAATGTAATCCCGTTGCCATGGTAGGTAACCGGTCAATTGATCGGCGAAGTTAGAGATAACCAAATCCTTCAGACCAGTGTCCCAGACCTCGCAGAACCGCCGTTTCCAGTCTGGTGGCTCTACGGCCACTGTCCCGAGCCCAGGCGCTCTGTCTTTGGACCCTTGGTTCTGGTTCTCTTGCCAGTCCACAACGTATGTAGCCACTCTTCTGTAGAACTTGGCCTTGAACGTTTCCCACGCCTGGTACTTGTAATGGTTCACTATGGCCGTGCTTTCGAGTAATTTCACATGCCCAATTCCTTCCTTCAGCTGGAAATGGTGCACCTCGTTCAGAAGCGAGCTCGTGAGCATATCGGGCCTGATTATAGACTTGTGCCTCTCCGGGCTGGCGAGCCGGCATGTGTAGGAAACGGTCACACCTTGCGGCTGGGGAGTTGTCAGACCAGATGGCCCGTAGCTGTGACAGTCTGTTTCTATCTCTCCAACCAGTCCCTGGGACGAGTAACTCGTGACGAGTGACCTCAACGCGTTTTCACTGGATATGCTCGACTTGTGGTGAGAAGGGAAGTAAAAGAACTCATCAACGTCAAAGAATCCGACCCACGAGCATTCGTCTTTCGCTCTCAGAGCACAGTGAGAAAAGCCGGCTTCTTGGGTCTTGATCCACGGCCAGACATGTCGGCTTACGTTGTAGCTGTCCGAGTTGAGCCGGTCAATCTCGTCCTGTATCCCGTCATCGCTGTTATTATCGTAGATGAACCAGCGTTCAACCCCGAGCCAGGAGTGATACATTATCCACTCATGCAAGAAAGAAGCTTGGTTCCACAACATTGTACAGACACAGAGTTTGTACTTTCTCCCGGCCTTCTCCGTTTTCGAGTTTGAAGCATAAATTCTCGCCACAGAAGGCAAAGGCCGGGCCATTCTTCCCCTGGTCCCGGTCTGAACAACGCTAACTCGAATTCCACGAGCCTTGTCCAGGTTTTTCATCATACCCCGCGGCAAAACGCACCGGACAACTTCTTGTGCAGCAGCAACTGCTTGTGTCTCAAACACAAACCCTTCATCCTCCTTATGATTCCCAATTCCAAACCTGCATTTGAAATAAGAAGGGTCGGACTCCTTATGCGGCCTTAGATTCAGTCCCTTGACGAAGACAACAGCCGTGTTGCCGTCTATTACAGCCTCGTATACAACATTGTCCCAGTTATGAACCATCGCATTACGGTCAGTACTACCACTCTGCTTCACCACATCACCATGAAATTGCAGACCGACTGCAGCTGAATAGTTCGAAGGAGCATTCGGGCAACGAACAATGGATCTAATCTCATCGTAGTCATCAGCTGAAATCGCGGGCATGACCAAAGTCTCTCCCTTTCCTCTGAATTTCCTAAAATCGTTACCGCCATCATCGCTCAAACCGTAGTAGACACAATCTAGGTTTTCGCTCTTGCCGATTCTGCTCGACAAAATCAGCAACAGATGGTCGGGGAACTGAACCCTATCCTCAAGTCTCAGAGCAGGGAACCTACCGCGAAGCGAACGCTGAATCGATTCCATGGATGACAAGACTGACAGAGCCGGAACCCTAAGAACCGGTCTCAGGGAATCCGGACGGACCGACAGCCCAGGAATCCTGTCGGAGGATAAGCACAACAACAAGACGAAGAAACAGAAACACAAGATCAGGGACCTTACAGACAAGAACTGGGCGCGTAAGCTTTGTCTGTTCCGACCTTTCCTCTTTTTCCCGTTCTCGTACTCCAACTCCATCATCTCCCTTTCCATCCTCCAGAAATGAACACTCATCGCTTCGTCTGGGCTTCGAACAAGAACAAGAAGATAGAAGAACAGCACTCTGAATTCGATTTGAGGCGACGGTTTCAGTGGGAGAGAAGAGATCTGGTGGTGGCGACAACAGTATCTCCTCTTCCCCAAGATTTTCCTTTTCAGCTTCAATGAAATTATTCTCTTTGTAGTTCCCTCATGTTTCCATTTTTTATGGGAACAACAAAGGCATGGAATTATTTGACTTCAAGGAGAGGAAAAGACACGGAGAAGATGAGACGACGCGTTTTATTATGTATACATGTACATATATGTAAGTCGCCGTCGGCTGCGGAGTCGCCACCGATTACTAAATCATTTCCTCGCTTTGATTTATCAATTAATTAAAAGGGTTTAGCGTTAATTTATTATTTATGCGACTAATGTCCAAAGACGCTAAGAATGTTGTGGACCATTCTGGTCATTTTCTTCTTCTTTTTTTTATTTATTTTTATTTTAATAGTTGGGGGGTTGGAAAGGGGAGGCCTGCGAGTCTGTAACAGTTGTGATGCGCAAAGCGTTAGTTTATATGCTTATTCTTATTCGAATTCATCCTATTGGCGCAGCTCATTTGTTTTTAAGATAGCCATTACTAACATTTTCCACCCTAAATCATGTCGTGAATCACTCCATTGATGCAGGTCAACGGAAGACAGAAATTTCTGTTTTTAGTTCATTTCTCGATTTCCAATCATTCAATATCCTCCATAGTTATACTCTTATTGAATATTAGATGACTCAATTGGTAAAGTATGAATCAATTTTTTTTTTCAATCGAAATTTAAATCTTCATTTGGAAAAGAATATTTATCTGCGTCTTTTCGTTCGAAAAAGTCTAGACAAATACTCCTTTAATTTTACATGACGTTTTGTTATTATGCACAAATATTAAGGAAATAAATATTATATCTAAAATATCCTTATTTAATCAGAATTAATTTTCTCTAATTAATGATAGTTTGTTATTATCTTTCCCAATATATAGCTATCTAATATTCTATCTACTGTCAAAATACACTTTTCAAAACTAAAATCTTTTTTATTTTTCAATTGAATCAATGAAGATCAATAATTATTAGGGTATAATTATTTTGATAACAATGTAAATAATTGTTATATACATTTGACCATATTAATATTGATAAAGGGAAACAGTGGAAAAAGTATAAAAAATACATGGAAAACAACAAAACGTCAATTATTTTAAACCAAAAAATTTAACCTAAAACAATATGTAAACTTAAACTATCATTTTTCAATAAAAACTCAAATCTCGATTGAAAAAAACTTTAAGTTAAGCCATTTAAACTTGGGGTTTTATTTCTTTTTATTTGGTCGACATTTATTTCATTTTTTTTCACAAAAAATCTGAATCAAGTAAAAGGACCAAACACCCGTGGGTTGCCATGACAAAAGTGGCAATTGGCGAGAGGGCAATGGAGGGTTGACGTGCACATTACGTAAAATGCGCTGGATTAATGTTCCTTTCTTCCTCCATCGCTCCAATTATTTTCTTTATTAAAACGCCTGCAAATATAACATGCATGTGCCTCCCATTCCACTTATACGTCTTGGTGCCTGCCCTGTTATGAACATGATAAAACAGGCAAACATTCCATCTTGGCACTTAGGTTTTATGTCTTTTTTCTATTTCACTTCATTTTTAATTATATCATACAATATATTTTTATACAATTAGAATACTGCGTTATCTGTTTGATTTTTTTATTCATCAATAATAACAATAACAATCGTTCTACAATTATTGCATCAATAATATGGAAACCTAAAACCAAACAAGAAATATTTAAATTGACAATTATGTTAACTCTCCATTTAGATTTAGATTTGTTTTCGCGAGTGGCCAAATGTTTATGCTTGGTTATTAATGTACGGCTTTGCATGTTTAAGTTTGTAAATTCCCGAAACAATTTTTAAAAAAAAAACTTGACACAATGGAATGGTTACCCGTGTTGATAATATTTTCCTAATGACGATTCAATTCAAACCTCTGAAATTCGCAGCAGCACTGCTGACAATGGCTACGGTAATATTCTTTATCAGCCGTCGCGATCGATCAAGCCTTTAACCCTCCCCCTAAAATCCACGACAGCTCTCTCCGAGTTTCTCTCCGACCACCGGGAACCGCCGGTTCCATCAGATGGACTTCGGGAGATTGGGACATCGGTTTCTTGGTCGACAAGAAACCAAAGAAAAACCCTAACGCGACAAAGGGGCTTCTAGATCTCCATATCTTTGTTATTTACGACAACAAGATCCTCTCTCACGCTTATATCTCGCCTTTCGAGCTCCTGCCTAAAGATCAGTACGCTCCGCTGTCGTGCCGCTTGGTCCGACAAAATCGAGGCGGAGCTTTGGTCGGAGGCGGAAAATGTGTTAGAAATTCTCTAACAACTATATTTTGGTTTTAATGTCATAATCAATATATGATATAATTGTTGTTTTAACGTGAAGATTATGACCACTAATTTAGTGTTATCAAATATGCAAATACAGAAAAGTATAGGGGTCAAATAATTATATATATACCATGAAGTGTAATTTTCTAATTCTTTATGAGCAGATTTGGAAATTACACAAATCTATTATTATAAATAGTGATAGTGATCCCTAGGCTAAACGTACAGAAAATCTGTGTGCATCCATTTGTCACATAATAAACTTTCTTACGTGATATCCTAGAAGTTGTTCTGTCTACACTCTGCCATTTGTCAAGTTATCATGGATTCATGTATGTTCTAAATTCCAGGATAATTTTTTGTTTGGTATGCATGATGATTGGTCCAGTATAAAATATTATGCAATGTATATAATATAGTATTTCTAGAAAATACTATAAAGTGATATCAGAGCTACTTCATGGCATATTGCATAGAGAATTTGCACGAATTTGAATACTTGCATGTTAAAAAAAATCCATGTATAATTTCAGATTAAAAAGAATACAGGAAAATATACATGAATGATTCTGATACTGCATGTTGAATAATTCAAATATATGTCTTTTCGGTTTAACTTAAAACTCCTAGAATATGCATATATGATTAGCATGTAATATGAACAATCTTGTATGCTTATATGAAAATTTTGAATCAATAAAACATACAGAAATAATATCGAAATGAAGCATGCAAATACACAGAATAAATAATTTTCGTGTATTAATCAGAATAATGTATGTTGAGTGAAATGCACGTTTCTATGTTTAATTTTCTGAATATACGAAAATTTACTAAGTTTTGATTAAAAAAAAACTTAGATACAAAAAATATATATACAGAAAATTAAAACAAATAGAAATATAGAAATGTAGTTCACTCGTACCGGGATAGATGAATTATGATTAAGATTATTAGTTAACCTTAATCAAAATTATTAAAACCAATTTTAATGTAGCCACTACAAAAAATGAGATTCTCACAATTGTAATTTCAGGTATTTAAAAAACCGAAATCAATCAGAATCTGAGGGCCGGATTTCGCCTCAGTGACCAAGTCCAAACGATCCCTCGATTTGGTTAAGGTGGCAAAACTAGAAATAAAATAGAAACCGAAATGGGACGTATGAACCGAGAGGGTTGGATTTCGGACTAAACCCTAACCGAAAACTCGAAGTGTCACAGACTGTAAAGTCGCGAAGATGCGGGAAAGTAAACACAAGTCGAGTTGCATAACAATAACGCCTGACATTTTAGAATGTTGATTGTTGGGACATGCAGATACGTGACCGTGTTCTTTCTAAGTCCCGTAAAAACAAAATTGAAAGAAAATGTCCGAGGTTGAACGAAACAGAGACATATCATTAGAGGGATCAATTTCTGCATGTTCGTTTTAGAAGATTTGGCACGTTGAACTCATCGGAGAAGTGACTAACGACCAACTGTTACAGAACAGAGGGCTTAGGTCACGCAATCCGGCGACGATCTCGCCAAATAATAATCGAAAATAAAAGACATTAAAGGAGAAGAGTTTCGAAAGTTTAAAACTTCGAATTTATGTTCGAATCTGCACATGCATACGTTATAATCTTGCGATCAAAGGTTGAATGAACATATTTATAGGCAGAATTGATCAGAAACCTTAAGGAAAATAGATCAGTGAATATTTAGGGAGGGTTAAAAGTTTAGGGTTTTGAAATTAAAAAACAGAAACTTGCTAAATTTTTTAAACCCTAAAACCGGGAAAAGGAAACCCAGGGGTAGATGAACCGTTAACTCCCCGAAAATCGGCTGAGAGCTCGGATTTTTTGCTCTTCGAGCATTAAAATCAAAGATACAAACGGAAACATCGAAGATTTGAAGTCGGAGGTTTAAATACCTCAAAATCCCGCTCGAACAAGGAAACCCTGAAATTTTTTTCGACAATTATGGCTTGAGATCCAAGGATTTCGCCATAAAACCGTGTAAATATGGAAATACATACACATTTCCATATACACTCGTCGATTTCAAACCCATAAAACAGAAGCAAAAAAAAATATTCAGAGAGAATCTCTCTGAATCTCTCTCTGAAGAACGAAGAGAGAGAAGGAACAAGACGAAATAGCTTCTGATCAATCGTCTTGTCATCTTTAATGACCTCGAAAAAATTGTTTATGGCCCTGGGACAAAGCCCATTAAAATCTTGGAAATCGAGTAGCCCGACACAAGTAACGAAACGTCAAAGTACAGCAGAGGCACGAAAATGTGGGCCGAAATTCGGCAGGCCCATATTGGGTCAAAGCATAACAGACCCAGCAAGGGCCCGATGTTTGCACTGACAACATATTATTGTGATTAATCCCGAATAAAATTATAACATCAAATTTCTGCGATAAAGTTCACAAGTAAAATCTGTGAGGGATTTTATGGTGAAACGAGATTCTATGACAACAAATATTATGTTTTTCGATAGGTTATTCTGCGATGATATCTCACCAAAGTGAGCTCTCTCGCCAAAAGGATAAATCTACCAAAAAACCTTTAAAGTATATTTGGTATGTTAAGATCTTCATGCGAATATGGAACGATACACAAAGGACGGAAAATATTTGGCAGAAACTCGAACATACATGCGATATTAAATATGATTATTATACAGATGTTCGGCTATCAAAATCGACCCAAAGAAAGGTTTTGGTAGTTGAATGTGATTTTCAGTGTTTGATCATTGCAGCGATATCATCGTTGATAAGTTGGTACTAAGGGGTGGGCGTTTCGGGATTCGGTTCGGAATTTTAACGGTTCGGTTCGGGAAGGTTTATTTGGTATTATAAAATTTGTACCAAATTGGTACCGTATATTATTCGGTTCGGTTCGGTTCGGTATTATGACGGTTCGGGACGGTACGGTACTAATAAATAAGTACCAAATAAGAACCGAAATAAAGACGGTTTGGAAACGGTTCGGGAACGGTTCGGGACGGTTCGGAACGGTTCATAACATATTCATAATTTATATAGTATAAAAATAAAAAAACATCCAACATAATAATTTTAGAGAACAAAATAAAAGTTTTGAACTTGATATAACCATAAGGAAATTTTACATAATAATTTTGAAATTTTCTATAAATATCATCAAAATTTTAAATTACACTTTAAAAATTATATCATATATGTAGAAATCCTTCTTTACCAACAAAGTGTATGCAGTATAAAAAAGACAAAAAAATAATATAAATAAAAAGAGATAAAAATAAAATATTTATTAAGTAAAATATAGTAATTATCATAATTAATTATTAATATTAAATATTTTTAATTAAAAAATAAAAATACTGAAATACCGTTCGGTATTTCCCGAACCGAACCGAACCGTTCCCGAACCGAACCGAACCGTTCTCGAACCGTTCGGTATCTTAAATCTTGTACCGTTTGGTATTTTTATGTAATACCGAACCGAACCGTTCCAAGATGGGATCCAATGTTGTTTGGTATATCGCACCATTATTATCATTCTCTTATATCTTGTTTAAAAGGTTTATTGTGAATTGATGTTGTTTATTTTCTTTTTCAGCAAGCAACATCACATCATCGATCAACTCCATCCTCATGCTAACCGGGGTAAACTTTAAGGTATGGAAGGATAACGTTATGATTGTTCTCGGATGCATGGACATTGACCTTGCATTACGGGAAAAGGCTCTTGCTGATCTCACTGCAGAAAGTATGGCTGAACAACGTACTTATCATGAGAAGCGGAAGAAATCAAACCGTATAAGTTTGATGATCATGAAACGTCGTTCCAGAGATATTCAGGGGGTGCAAGTGGAAATCATATTAAGACCCTAAACCCCGAGCCAATTTGCTAGCCATATTTAATAGGCCAAACTTACATGGCATTACTATTGTTGGAACAATTCACTTACCTAGGTATAGTGAATGGTTGTTGTCGAGATGTAGAACTCCCGATATTGGTAGACGACATCCCGAGGAGAAGATGACGCCTATTGTTCAAAGGCATCCCAGATTGTACGGTCTGACTCGATTGAGTTGGAATAATACTCCCTATAAAAAAACAGAATTAGGTATTTGTTTTATAACCCGAAATATGTAACCACTAGCTGATTTAACAAAAACCTTCGGCGGAGTTAAGACTTTTGGTTGGAGGTTCATTGGATGTCGGTGGTCCTTGTTGACTCCGTTTCCGTGGTGCGTTGCTCGTTGACCGTGATGCATTGCTACTCGATGCTCCGTCCTATACAAACACGTCATAATCAATAATGCGTTTGGAATAAATATTGCAAGACATATCTAACTTACTCCTGATAATCTCGGTTGTTTGTACGTCTTTGCATTGTGTCCCACTTGTTTGCAAACACTACAACGGACTATTCTTCCGTGTCGGGTTATGTGTTCCGGTTTTGAAGGAGACTCATGTGGATCTTTCACTCGCTTATGTTGTCTTGGTCGACCCGACATTCTTGTAATTTCTGGAACTTCGATTGGAATTCTTTCCGACCTCTGCTACAACGGTTCACCATTAACCGACATGATATTATTAGCATATATTGCTTGCCATTTTGTTCTAAGATAATAATGAGATAGAAACCTACACACAAAAAAATATTTATGGTTAGTAATCATAGATATATATGTATAACAAAATATTAAGAGATTACTTACGGGGCAAATGTTTTGTTGTGTTACTTTGATCACAGCTTGGGCATGTTGACAAGGTATACCTCTCAACTTCCATATCCTACAACCACATGTGTTAGCAGTCAAATCGACCCTATAAGAAATCCCAAACTCAACCACCTCGTATTTCCCATGTACGCTATTAATGATGTTGCAGAATCTTGTGTTTCCCAATATTTCTCCAAAATCTTCATGATCCTAGGGGAGAACTCGATAATACATCTTGCTGCCTCACGTGATCGTCTGGAAATCCGTTTCATTGCTTTCCGACGAATCTCTTCAAGCATATCGATTATCGGCCTTGAACGTGCTTCTTTGATTGAAAAATTGAAGTTCTCAGACAAATTGTTGTGAATGTCATGTCATTTCGATTCTAGATTAAAAAAAGCTTTGCACCACCTCTTCGGATGTGCCTTCACAAATGCATCATATGCCAATGGATTGTAGCGTTTTATGTCCCGGACATATCCTTCATATTCTCTTTCCAAATAAGACTTCGCAGCATTCCAGAAGAGGAATTTGAGTTCTGGATCCTTAAAATGTTTCTTCCAATTGGCAAAGACATGTCGAGTACACATTCGGTTTTCGACCAATGGTAATTCCTTTTGTACAACATTCAATAATCCCTATCAAAACATATATAATTAGGGAAAAAGCTATATAAACAAAGTAAACTACAAATTAAGTACGAACACATTAACTTTTGTTTGTTGGACAATATTGTCAAGTTACGTCCATCGCCTAATCCCAAATCTAATTTCAATTTTCGGATGAACCAGTTCCACGATTCAATACTTTCCACCCGAACTACAGCCCATGCTATAGGGTACATTCCATTATTTGCATCCCTTTCGACAACGACTAACAGTTCCCCTTTCATTTCCCACTTCAAGAAGCAACCATCTAAACCAATTACACGTCGACAATGGTTTTTCCATGTGTCCCGCAGTACTTCAAAACTAAGGTAGAAACTGTGAAAGACTTTGTTACCCGTCTTAACTATTTTTGTCGTGACCTCGGTTGTTGTATTCGGGTTCGACCTATGCAATTCTAACTCATAGTCCAAAAAATTAGCAATCTGAATAGAGGTATCTTCCATGACCATTTTCAACGCCATACGCCTAGCCTTAAAATACTAACTGATTGGGACAGTCACACCATGATCTTCTAGAATTGCAATATGCAACTTTTCAGCTTTCCAATCTGGTTCTCTCCTAAACCTCTCTGCATATTCCTTCGCAATTTGTCTCATGGTGAACAAATTAATATATGTATCGGAATCATGGTTGTGACCATCCTTGTAAATCTTTACCATCCATTTATTGATGGAGTTTTCAACCGAACAGTATACCCTCCAAGGGCAACCTTTCGTACAACATTTAGCACCTACTTTAGTCCTTTCCCACCTATCCATCTACACATTGAAGTGTTTTTTCAGCGCATAGTCTAATAAAGCCCTTTTAAATTCCTCCCTCGAACTGAATGTCTTTCCCAGATGCAACAAATCATCTGATGGAAATGCGACTGGCTTTCTCCTAGGCTGATCAACTTTTTGACATTCTTCATCACTACCTTCTGGCGTAAGAGGGATATAACAATCACTATCCAAATACTCATCGAAACATCATCATCCACTTCATCAAACACAACATCAGATTCTAAACATGCTATCATTGGGATTTCTTCTACAAAATCATGATCCGAACTACCAGGAGTGTCACCTAAACATGAATCATCATCGTCACTTATTCTACCATCAGAACTAGAATCAACAGCAAAATCACCATCTTCATCACTATTATATCCACCTAAATCTCCAACATAGATCTGCTCTCTATATTCCTCTGCATCAACATTCATATCTCGAGACTGCTCCTCTTCAACATTAACATCAACAAGTCTATCTCCATAAAATGGTTGTGATAATTGATGCTCCACATAAACATCTAACTCGCCACATTCTCTTGCAAAACAAATCATATTCTCAATGTCACTATTCCTGAATTCTTCTCGCACTACCCTCCGATTATCCAACGATTCAGTCGACATTTTATACCACAACTCCTTGATATTAGTTCCTAGTTTAAGAAACCTAATATATTCTTCGAAGAACCATGATATCTTATCAACATCAACCATACCTTATATTGGTTCGAGCCCACCCATGTAATATGCTCTGCCTTCTGATTCATCGAACTCACCTCCCATGAAGATGTTCAGTCGAACCCAACTTCAAATCAAACCACATGAGATCATTATAGCAAGTACAACATCATTTTAGCAAGTTCAAACTCATATTCTTATGATTTCTTTTCAAGTTCATCCAAACCAAGCTCTAATTTCAATGATAACATCAAACAGAAACAATACTTTTTCCTCAGCTATTACCTCATTTTCGCAGGTTTTCTGTGTCAAGCTTCGGAGTTTATCAAGCTTCTTACGGATAGAGCTTAATGCAGAACCTACAAAATCATAACCTAATTAATCCGAAACAGTGAGGAAAATGAGGAATCCGAAGACAGAGAATCACCGACACATAACCATTCCACACAAACAAAGAGAGGGAAAAACTACCTTCGAATGAGAGGAACAACGACTCTAAATACCGGAGAGAGACAGAGACGAGAGAGAGAAAGCCACAACGAGTATTAACGACGACAGAGAGAGCAACGACGATTCCAGATGCCGTGAGAGAGAAAGCCACGCCCACAGATAGAGACACACGTTGACAGACACAGCAACGACGAGCGACGGTGAGCCAGAGAGTCACATCGAGAGAGAGAGAGGCACGGCGGGAGAAAGTGATGGAGAGAGGGAGAGTGACATCTAGGCAAAGCGGAGAGAGAGAGAGCGCCACGGGGGGAGTGTACCGTGAGTGTGGAAGAGAGGGTGAATGTTGAAGGAAATTAAAATCCTAGATCTAAAAAAAAAATAGGGATTTTTTTTTTTGAAATCTGATGTGTCTTGCTCACGTGGCAAATATTATCCACGTGGCCTTCCACGTCACTCGTTCACTTAACAGAATTAAACGAAACTTAACACTGTTTCGACTGATGTAGAAAATCACAGTTAAATCGGATAGTTCGTGTATCAATTTGACACTTTCGATAATTTTGTATAGATTTTTGCCAAATTAAAAGTTGGTGTAGGAAAAAGTCACATTTTGTAAAATTCATATCATTTTTCTTTTTCTTTTTTCTTCTGAAAAAGCTTTTTAGAATCAGAGAGATATTGATACGTTGAATAATCTTGAAATTTTATGGGTTTGATGTTAATACATGAAGCTTATTTCAGAATTTTCTCTTTTAGATTTTTTTAAATGAAATTGATAATTTATAGTTAAAAAAATATGTATATGCAGGGTTTTTTTATTGCCCAATTTTTTTTGCATTTGTTGAATAACAGAGACAAGTCTTATTATATATTACATACACACGCACGCACAAGTTGTTAAAACAAATTATAATTACTGTGGAGAAAAAAATGTTTTGTGGAATCGATCGTAAGTGGTTATATTGGTGTGAATCATAAATATTTATGCATGTCCGGTTCTAATCGCATATGGCCCAAACTTTAGGGCTTAAAATTTTATAAAGCCTGTGAATAATTTGGGCCCAACATTAAAACTTCCATAGAGGTTATTTTTATTTTTATTTCGAAAGAAAACCACAAAAGCTTTTTTTTACATCAGAATACTAAAACTTTTTTTTTTACCAAAGGAGATTTAGACGTAGATGTTCTCAATTTGAAAGAACATATTATATAAAATTAGTTTATGGAAAATAATATATTTTTATTGCAATTTTTTTATGGCACCACTCAACGAGAATCTTCCCACTAACATACACGCTACCAACAACCAAATCAAATAAAATAAAGCAGAACAGCAAATTCAAATAAATATCTTGAATAAATCCAAATTGATATTTTGGTGGCCATAAATATTCTAAATATAAGGAAACAATAACTTAAATTTGCTATGAAATCTAAAGATTGTTACAACTACAGATACTTTGGTTTGTCCCAATAAATCCCGAGGGAATGATAGGTAATTACATTTAAAAATTTGTCATTTTTTTTTATTTTGTTTAAGATTGACATCACAGATTTAGAAGGTGACAATGTAGAGTTGCCTTTGATTGCCTCTACAAAATCTATGCATAAAAGGAAATTTACAACTTTATTGTAAATTACTTTTTTACAATTTCCATTTACTGCGCAGAAAACGCGCGTGCAGAGCACGTGACAGTGTTAGGGTCCACGAGAGAGCAAGCTTTGGACATCTCCGCATCGATCCCATATCTAAAGACGAATTCTCCAGCTGGTTCCACTGTGTTTACAGCTGTCATCTCCTTAATGGAGACAGAACCATTCGCATTACCCAAAAGCCGCCATTCCTTTTCATTCTTACGCTACACCATACCGCAGGTGATAACACCTCTATATATCTCCTACCAAATGGCATTAACCCTGTCGATTAAATAGGTAATTACGTTGGGATCAGCATATAGTTTTTTTTTTTTGAAAATTTTCTCTCGACAACTAAGCATCAATGTCAGTCCACGCGCATTTACAGCGCGTGATCCCGCGTTTGGAAGGGAAGAAAAGGAAGCAGAGAATCCGAAGTGAAAAAGCAAGAGACCTCTTCTCTTCTAAAACCCGTTTCTTCTTCGTCTTCTTCCTCTCTCCTTATCTCTCCGTCGCAGTGTGGAGAGAGAAAGGAACATTCTTGGACTCCATGACTCAATCTTTCGAGAAGCTTCGCCTTTTCCGTAGAATGCAAAACCATTAGCACACGAAAAGTACTGATCTTTACCTTTTAATTTTTCTATTCTCTTTCGTTTTTAAGAATATCAGAATCGAAACAGGGAGAGATCTTAAGAAATCGCGTTTCCTGCTAATGCCGTCGCGTTCTCCTCCAAACGCTGCGGTTTTACCGGTGGTCGCGTGTTTGGTGCTTCTGTCGGAGTTTGTTGTCGGAATACGAACGATTCCGGGCAGGATTGTCGGCGGCGGCGGAGGAAATGGGTTTGACCTGGGGCCGTACACGGAGGCTCCGGATTACAGGAACGGCAAGGAATGCGTGCCGTCTTCGGTCTATAGGGAGAACTTCGTGTCGTCCTGCGACCCATCGCTCATCCACATCGCTATGACTTTGGACTCGGAGTATCTCCGTGGATCGATCGCCGCCGTCCATTCCGTCCTCCGCCACGCGTCCTGCCCGGAGAACGTCTTCTTCCATTTCATTGCGGCTGAGTTCGACTCGGCCAGTCCACGCGTCCTGAGTCAACTCGTTCGGACGACTTTCCCGTCGCTGAATTTCAAAGTCTACATTTTTCGGGAGGACACAGTCATTAACCTCATCTCGTCGTCGATCCGACAAGCCCTTGAGAACCCGTTGAACTACGCACGGAACTATCTCGGTGACATCCTGGATCGGTGCGTCGACCGAGTGATTTACCTTGACACGGACGTGATAGTGGTCGATGACATCACCAGGCTGTGGAAGACGACGTTGACCGGGTCACGGGTCATCGGAGCTCCGGAATACTGCCATGCCAACTTCACCAACTATTTCACGGCCGGGTTCTGGTCCGACCCGAGACTTTCGCGGGTCTTTTCAGGTCGAATCCCTTGTTATTTCAACACTGGAGTGATGGTGATGGATCTGGTGAGATGGAGAGAAGGGAATTACAGGGAAAAGCTCGAGGCTTGGATGCAATTGCAGAAGAAAAGGAGGATCTACGATCTGGGTTCATTGCCGCCATTCTTGCTGGTGTTCGGTGGAAATGTGGAAGCCATAGATCACAGATGGAATCAGCACGGACTCGGAGGGGATAACGTACGGGGAAGCTGCCGGTCGCTGCACCCTGGTCCGGTCAGCTTGTTGCATTGGAGCGGGAAAGGGAAGCCATGGGTGAGGCTTGACGAGCAGAGACCTTGCCCGCTCGACCATCTGTGGAAACCGTACGATCTGTACAATCACAAGAGTGAAAGAGCCAATGATCAATCTCTTCTGGATTCGAGCTTTTTGTGAGACCGATTCGTATTCTTTTTTTGCTTTTGTGTATTATTATTACATTGTTGAGGAGATTCTTTGATTGCTGGTGTAATGATCGATTTGAGAGGGAGGGACTGTGGAGATTTTGGCATTCTTTGCTTCATATCATGTTGTTGTATTGTTATGTTTTGCATAGAGAAAACGTCATCTCAATTCCTAATGTGTTGTGGCTTTTCATTCCTTACATCCGTACGTATACCGTATACCGTATAGACACAGAACCAAAGTACGGAGTAGGTCCACCACGATGAAACAGCTGTTTTTTGTGTGTGTGACATTAATGGGTTCTGGGAAATACAAAGCTTTTTCGGGCAATTACAATTTTTCGAGGTTTCCCAAACGCCATTAAATTCTAATTGAATGCTCTGATGGTCGATGTTGTGTATACCGCATATCTATTGTAGCTCGAGGCAAAAGTTTTTCGCATTTTGGTTCGGCTATATTTTGATTTGGTTATTTCACCTTTTTTTTTAAAAAAAAATACAATCATTTAGTTTTTATATTAAATTCTGATTGGTTCAATGATTTTATTTTGATTCGAGTCAATTGTATTTCGATTTTTATTGATAAAAATATTCAATTTTTTAAATAAATATTTGATAAATATTTCTCAGTTACTTTCTTTTATCCGGTTTCGATTTTTCCAATTTTAGAGAAATTATAACAATTCAATTTTTATTTTAAATTCGTTTGGTTACCGACTGTTTATTATTTGTTTGAGATCGATTCGGTAATTTGTTTATTAATCAAATTTACAGACCATATATATGGACGATCATTGACAAATTTTTATATATGGATGGGCTGGGCTCGGGTGCACTATGGAATATTAAAATTTAAAAAGTTTTAATCATTCACTGGGTTCGGCCCAAACTCCTCAAAGAACGACGCCGTTTCTATGCCTACCGGTTTCAGTAGATCCCATCCATTAAAAAAACACAATTAGCAATTAATTAGTAAGGATTAGTTAATTAATCAAATTCGTTAAACAGTTTTTGTCCCCGCGCACAGTGCTCTGTCATCTCATTCGATCGGCCTTAAAGGTTATCACCTCCACTTTACTACTTTCCATCTATGGTCCCACCGACTCTTTGTCTTCATGTCTTGATCTGAATCCCAATCTCATCTCCTCTTCCTCTTCTTCTGTATAAATAATTTCTATCTGTCTCTCTCTCTGATATAATCATCCTTTTGATCTTTATTTACTGATGGGTGCCGTGAAAATCTTGTTTTTTAGGCTTGTCTTATTATTTTTCGTTGCAGCTTGTGTCACTCAAAGTTTCCGACTTTGAGGACATTTTGTGAAGCTTTTCTCTTTACCACTGTTTCTGCTTTTTGTTTCCACTAGAAGCAGCAAATCACAATCTAGGGTTTTTTTTTTTTTTGCTGGGTGTGGAAAGGTATACATACCATCATTGGGAATTAACACAGTTTTGTGGGTTATCTTCACTTTTGAGGTAAGACCAATTGCGACCTCTCTCTCCTGTTTTGGGGTTCTAAGCGATAAACTTTCAAAGATTCAATCATTTTATCAGAGATTGGCTCTTTGTTTGATTCGTCAATTGTTGGAGCTTTTGAAGTACATTCCAGAGGAAAAAAACAAAAGGAGAAACTGAGTAAACCCATCTCATGATGTCTCTCTCTTCCCATTTTCTTCTTATTTTGCTACCATTGTTCGCTTATATGCTCACACAGTTACACACACTCACGCGTACACATGCACATGTATTCGCAAATAAAATGGCTTCTGGTCGGATGTTTTGTGTTAGGATTGTCTGTATCGCTTATAATTGTTCCGAGAAAGTTGATCCACTTTGTCTTGCGTTTGTTTCCCTCTTAGCGTTATCAAGTTTAAATCGTATCAGTTTCCTTGTTTTTTTGTATGGAGTAAGGTTCTTGTCCCGAGCATCAATGGGGGAAATGGAAGATATGGTACATATACCCATTCGCTTAGATTTCCTTGCATTTACTTTAGATTTGTGCTTAATCTGAAACAGATGTTGCAAATTCAGGAAACCGCTGTCTGTTTCTTGTGCCATGTTTACGTGTTTGAGTCCTTGATTTGCTGTGTAAAACAGGCGGAGGAGATGGCGGATTCATCGAACCCGGGTCTGGAAGTGTCGGTTTCGTTTGGTAGGTTTGAGAATGATTCACTTTCATGGGAAAAGTTCTCAGCTTTCTCTCCAAACAAGTACTTGGAAGAAGTGGAGAAGTGTGCAACCCCTGGATCTGTTGCTCAGAAGAAGGCTTACTTCGAAGCACATTACAAGAAGATTGCCGAGAGAAAAGCCGAGCTGCTGGATCACGAGAAACTAACAGAAAAGAAGCCGTCTTTTAGATCGATCCTTCGGAAGAACCAGGGAGGTCTGCCATGTGACGAATGTACTTACGGTGAAGAAGATAAGCATGTGATTGACATTGCTACCGAAGTGAACCAACATAATGAAGAAACCGTGGTTGTTAAGGAATGTCAAACCTCGGTTCATGCGGTGAATGATGAATTCAGGGATGTTCTGGATAGGCCCGAGTTGGAGAAACCGGAAGAGATTGTCGTAGTTATGGAAGAGAAACCAGGAGAGGTTGTCTTAATGGAAGAGGAACGAGAGAACGAAGTCAAAGAGGATATCCCATATAAGGATTCTAACAATATGAAGGAACGGCCTGTGAAAGAGATGAACAAAGCGAAAGATGATGATAATCTTACAAAGACAAAGGATGGAAATACGGGGATGAATCACACCAGAGGCGCTCCCATGGTAAAACTAGATCTCTTTCGGTTGGATTTTGCAGATGAGAAAGCTTAATTCTTTCTTAGTTGATACATCAAATTTCCTTGGCTGGTTAATATACGCAGAGTAATACCGTGAACAAGAAACAGATATCCAGCAAGACTGTGACAGATATGAAAACTCGGCCAGGCAAGGGGACTAACTTGACATCTGTTGCAACAAAGGAACCGGCCTCGCCTCTTCCGAAAGCTCGAGGGTTTTCAACTCCAAGAGTGTCCAAGCCGGCTTCAATGCCCACATCTCGTTCTTCGGTAAAGAAGGAAAAGGCCTCGAATTTACCGAGAAACAAGCAAACGGCTCCAAAGTCGTCATTGCATATGTCTCTCAGTGTGGGTCCATCCGGCTCTGATCCTACCGCTCTTACCACCACCAGGAAATCTCTGATTATGGATCGAATGGGAGATAAGGACATTGTGAAATGTGCTTTTAAGACGTTCCAGAAGAATTTCAACCCATCGAAATCTTCCATGGATGGGCAAAGTCCAGCTTCGGTGAAGGTGAGGTCATTATCATTTTTTTGTATCTAATCAGTTCTCAAAGATCAGTCGAACGTCAACCCATCATTTCTCGTGTAATGCCATGATTGACACCAGATTCCTGCAAAGGCTTCAAGAGTTTCCTCATTAACTACTGCTCCGAAAGAGAATGGCAGGTATACTTTTGGCAACTTATTATCTCTTGGTTATGTCTTGGTCTCTGTCCCAAATTCATGTCTTTGTTCTTGACTTGCTACAGATCTGCAAAAGTGGGCAGCGTGGAGAAGAATCGTTCTTCGTCTTTTGGACTGAAAAACAACAAGACAGCCGAGAAACAGAAAGAGGTAATCTTTCTTATGAACGAACTAAACCGGCCAGATTTCTTCCTCGGATAAAAGCCTGATGGTTGTACTGTTGAGGTTTTTCTAATCACTGCTTTACTCACTCTGATCTTTCTGGAGTGGTTTCTGATTCCAAAGACGTCCAGAGAGAAATCTGGCGCAAGAACTGTGGAGAGGAGGAACTTAAAGGTATGCAGGTGGACGGATTTCGGTTCTTTTCCCCGAAATGAATCCCGTTTGATCTCTGAATGATGCCATTGTTAACAGGCAGGAGTGACGGATGGCAAAACCAGGAGGCACAGTCTTGATCCGAAATTCAAACCCATGCAAGGCTCTATACCGGGAACCAGAGGATCTTCAGACAAGGTATAATAATAACTATATGTCAACCCATTTCTTGAAGGGAATTCTGTCCTGAAGCAGATAAGAATGGTTTTTGTTTGATCTCCAGGACGGTTTTAGGAAAAGGGAAACAAGTTTTTTCACCTGAAACGGGATCAAAGACCAGAAAAACAGAGCCAGTATCCTCTGTTTTGCTGGAGGAGTTCCCAAATAGGAGTGTGAGTGATAATTTTAATAATCAGCAGGGAAGTAGTTATATCTACAGTTCAGTGTGTGTGTGTGTATGTGTATAGAGTATCTATCTTCATGTGATAGATTACGTGCTCCCCAAGTTATACGAAACTCTTCACTGGCAATATATTATTTACAAAGCAACGAATCATATGGATGTTCCTACTCGGAGAAATTCACTGGTCGGAATCTGATCCACCGGAATCACTCCTGGATCTGTCTGACATGAAATTCGGAGGCAAAACGGGAAACTTAACGGCGTTCCTCAGAGGGGTCGAGCCTGTTTTCCCTGTCTTCCTCCTCTGCAGATTCCTGGCTATCTCTATGCATACCTTATCCACCATTCCTAGAAAATCTCTGATTATGACAAAAATCTGAAAAGGGTTCTTGCCCTTTAGAGCTCCTGCCTGGTAATACTCTGTTGTCCGTTTCACAAACTCCATCACCTTCCTTTCTTCCTCTCTCGCCATTCTCGTTTCTTCCTCCACTGAATCGAGAAACCCATTCATCTTCTTCACGAACCCACCTCCCTCGCACTGTGCAAGGACTCGTCTTGTGTCTTTCGCTCTGGTCATCAGAGCAGAACACGTGGCAGTGACCGCATCGTAATCTATCCCCGCGGCTTTCTTCACACTGGTGAACTCTGAGCTCAAGCCTCCAACTATTGGCAGACCAAGCTTCAAGTATTCCTTCTCCTGTTCTTCCTTAGACACAGCTTGAGAGCTTTCAGAACTGGAACCGCCATTGTTGCTGCTACTGCTAAGGTTTCTGTTCCTTTTGTTCATCAGACACCGCTTTCCTTCAGACCTAACGACCTCCTCCACGACAAAATGAAGCAATGTGGTCTTCCCATCCACGCTCTTCACGTCTGAGAGTTTCAAAAGGGCGGTGAGATTGAACGCTTGAGCGTTTCCCCGTGTCGTTCCAGCGTTCATCCTGTTTCCGGCCTTGAGTATCGCCTCAAGAAGCTTGACGAACAAGCCATGAGCCCTGAGCCCTCTGCAGGCCGCATCTAGGGTTTGCAGGCACTGCTTATGATGAGCGATCTCTGGATAGTAGTTTGCCTTGAAGAGCAAGGCATTGAGCCGTGTGAAAGCAGAGGGCACGGCTCTGAGGAGATGAAACAGGAACGATTCTGCGTCGGCCAGCTTTTTCGAGTCACCATCGAAATCAAGAATGGCTGATTGCTCCTCTTTCGTGGGAGCGATTCTTGCGAGCCTCTCGAGAGTGTCGGGGACGAAATCTTGCCCCTCTGTTAATGCGTGAACGAGTTCTTCCTGAGTTATGCCGAGAGATTTGATCACAATCGCGGTGTTCTGAGATTTTCTCGGGTCGAGAATGAAGATCTGGGATGGTGAACTTGAGCTTTGTTTCTTATCGCCGTCGCTTTCAGGCGATTTCTTCGCGACGTATCCGAATAGAGCCTCCATTAGATCTCCATCGAACCTGAAGGAACCACGATCGATCTTGTCCCAGACCATGGAATGGTCGGAATCTGGGTTGACTTTGTCCCAATGCAAAGGCTTCAGCTTCACCTGACCATTACTCGAACCCTCCTCTGCACTTGATCCTTTTGGCGCCGGCGGTGGCTTTGATGACGATGATGCCCGCCGTGTTTGACAGCGAAGACGGCGGCGGCGAAACCTTGGACGAGACTGTCGAAGGAGGAACTGGTAATGGCGAATCTCGTTTCACCGGAATCGGCAGGGGCGGAGGAGGAGGAGGGGCTGGTAATGGCGAATCTCGCTTCACCGGAATCGGCAGGGGCGGAGGAGGAGGAGGGGCATTTGCTGGCGAATCTTGCTTCACCGGAATCGGCAGGGGCGGGGGAGGAGGAGGTGCCGGTGCCGATGAACCTCGCTTCGCCGGCATCGGAAGGGGCGATGGTGGTGGCGGCGGCGGCGGAGAAGATTCCGTTTCGGAGCTGTCGACAGTATTGAAGGAGAGAGATTTGAATTTGACGGGAGGAGAAGGTCTGGTGGAATTATCTCTGTAATTTTCGTGGTGGATTACACTGTGAGAAGTCGATGATTTTCCCCGGAGGAGAGGGATCTCCGACACAGGCTCAGATTTCTTCTTGTTCTTGTAATAAATAACCTTCTTGTCTTCTCCTTCTTCTCCTTCTCTGTTCATCACCTCCTTCCTCAAGCTTCCACTTTGTCCCCTCTGAAGCTTTTTCCAATACAACACATCGAGGCCATCCTCGTCCACGATCAGACCCTTCACGTTCCTGTCGAACCGCGTTAACCCTTCTCGTGCCAATGCCGCCTCCGGTGGCGGAGGACCTGGCCGGACGGCGCTCTCCGCCGCGACTCTGTCCCTCCGCCGCCGAGCGACGACGAACCTCTGAAAGAGGAAGAAGAACACCGCTGCAACAACTGCGGTGCTCGCCGCCGTTATCAGCACAGCCCTCGTGATCGCCGCCCTGTTCGACGACGATTTTTGCGGCGGAGATGGCGCTGACGGCGACCGGAGGTTTGGCTGCGGCGGAGGCGGGGGGGCGAGAGCGTCATCTGGGAAAAACGTCTCGAGATTTTGGGGAGAATCGGACTGTGAGAAGGAAGGAGAAGGTAAAAGGGAGATGCAGAAGAAGAAAACGATGGTTAAATGGAGAAGAAACGGCCATGGCTGCAGGAAAATGGCAGCCATGAACGATAGCTCATTTACAGAGAGACGCCAATGAAAAGGTTTAACAAATTCACAAAAAAGGTGACGTCTTTATTTTTTTAATTTATGAGTGTCCCTTAAACCAAACAATCGAATATAATTTTCTTGGGAATTTGGGTTTTGGTATTGACGATTTCAATCAGAGCAGTTGATCCTTTTTCCCGGGCGTCCTATATTTAAATTATGACGACAATACCCTTGTAACTCGAGTGAATGGATCCGTAAACCCATGGGTATTTCAGTAATTTCGGGCGAAAGAATTTTGCCAGTGGTACGGTTGACGCGATCGTTGACTTTTTCGAACGGAGTGACTACGTTCTCTTCACGTCTTTGACTTTGGTTATGGGAAGACTCTAAACCGGTGAAAGGTTTCCATTGCGGGCCACATTTAGGTGATGGTTCATTAGTTTTATTCTTTTTTACATGATTAGGTAAAAATTGTTACACTTATTATATGGTATGGTCGCATATTATTTGACCGAATCACGTAAATTAACAACGTTACATGTAATAACCCCAAATCTGCGTTTAATTAATGGACTCGCATTTTTAATTCGTAACTTTGACAACGTCTTATTATTAAAATCGAAGCGAGTTTTCAAGGCAATGAATGACAATGAATTTTCCAGAACCGTAGGTTTCATAAAAGTAGTTTTATGCGTTTTTTTTTATACCCCTATTTGTAAAATAAAATAAAATTATTTGGATTTTGGTGTATATGTATTTTAATTTCCTGTCGGATTTGAACAGAAATTATGTCAACCATCCATAAATTACTATTATATTGGTCCATTCATAATTTCATGTAATATTCACGTGAGAAAAATAAATCAAATTTATCAAATCTTAACTCTTATACGTTATTGAATACTAAGCCGCATAATTTGTGAATATGGAGATAAAAAAAGTTAACGACGTATCACTGAAATTGCTTGGACGAGTCTAACGTTTTTTTTTTTACGATGGAAACCCCTATCCCTATAACCCTTCGGATCGGACACCGGAAACCGCAACGCCTCTCAAATCATGGACCGGATGAGAACGGTATTAGAACAGCATCGCGGATCTGAGAAAACCCAGTGTCCTGCGCAGTAGCCAGCAAACCACGCAGAGCAGGTAAACCAGTCTCGTAAAGCTGACCGGCTCAAGAGGAGTACCATACCTGGGATTCAAACCCACAACCTCATGGAAGAGGGGGTTGTCATTAACCACTAGGCTGGAAGACTCCCTAACGTTTTTACTTTTACTATTTTTTTAATTTGAAAATGTTTTTTTAGTTATTAACCATGCAGAGCTATTTATGCCATCATAATATATTAACTACTCGTGTACTATATATAATAGCTCAAAGTTTTCGCCATTATTTTTTTTTAAATAAGTCGAAATCTTTTGTTATATTTATTTTTCTAATAGATGCAGAAAAAATAAGCGAGTACGTTAAATTAGGGCAGCGTCCGTCGGATTGACTTTAAATGACGCGGTAATGACGGAAGCTTTGATCTGCTGAATTCTTCAAATTACAGAATTGACCCCTTTTTTTCCGTTTGGTCAAACCAAACCCCTTTTCCAATTGTGAATGCTTTCTTGACCGATATAACTACCATACATTCCCGAATATGTTATTTTCTTAGTTTCTATTAGAATATTATATATATATATATATATATATATATATATATATATATATATATATGAAGGAAAAGTGAAGACATGAAGAATTTATTAAGCTTTCCGTTGTTAATTTCGGACTATGGGAGTCGACATCACATACATAAACATAAACTATTGAAAAATGGGCCAAATGTTAGCCCACCAATGCCGGAGCCCAATATGGAATTGATAATTAATTTTCAGTTCTTGAATTGTGTATTTACTTAAATTTACAATTTAAATAAACAAATACCATATTCCCGATTGCAGTTGCAATATTTGTCAATACTCCTTTATTTTTTTAATATTTGTTTTATTTTTACTCTATTTTTTCGTATAAAATATCTGATTATTTTAGCTAATTCTCAAACGGGCTGGTAGCGTTCCTTTAATTTTGAATGTTGACAAAAACTCATAATGTATTCGTTCATAAGTTGCAATTATTTGATCCATAATCCATTATTAGTAAATGAAATCGGATCTATCACGAAGAACATAACTTCAACGAATAGATCCAACGTTTTATCATCATCATCATCATATGGAATGTCTTTCTTAATATAAGTGATATGGCTAATTGCTAAAAAAAAAATTAAAAAGAAAAAGTTATTCATCGGATTCGTATTAACAGAACTGAAATTTTCAAGAGGTAAAAAATCTGAATTTTAGAAACTCTAAAGATATTATGAAGATTTTATATTTATATTTTATGATTTTGTATACAAAAGTAAAATGTATGGTCAATATCTATTGCTTTATTGAAACACATATGGATTCTCATGATATATACTTACTAAATATAACTTGACCGATTTTTTTTCTTTTTAGTTCATGATTAAAATTTCAAAACAAATGGGGCAATTTAGACACAACATTTGTGTACTCCGATTTATCAAATCTTTGTGAATAGTCAAATGGAAGATTCTCTCTTTGATGTAATATCCTCTTGAAAGCTTTACGAGATGGATTGTAGCATACATTATCGTGGCCATCAATTAAAAACTAATAACATATACAAAAACCAAATTGTTACCAAATCTGAACATGTCAATTTTTGTTTGTCTATCACTAGAAAAAAATTTAAATAAAACTGTCCAATGAACCAATTTTACGAGTAAATACTATACAAAAATAAATAAAAATAATTCGTTGATCAATTTATGAAAATGTGTTCGATTTCTTTAAAAATGTTATATGGGTCATTAGCCAGAAATTAATACAACATTATATATATATATATATATATATATAATGCATTGCCTAGCGTGTTGGATTCCAAAGGCTACAAATAAAATTAATCTCCACGTGTTGAAAGCAAAGCACCACATTCAATTGAAACCAAAATTATCTTTTTCGCTAAGTAAAAAGAAAAATGGTCTAAATAAGGAGAATGCTTTTTTTTTTCAGTTTATGGATGATTCTAATCTAAGATTAGATATTACCTTAAAATGGCAATATTACAAGAATACCTTTAAATGTGCACATAGACTTCAACCCATACCCTTCAAAATTAGTGTTTTAAAAAAAAAACTCTCGAATGATAAAAAGACATTGTTACCCTTAATAAAAAGGACACGTGTCAAGATAAGAACAAATAAAACAAATACCAGAGAAGTTATGAAATTATATGATTCAAAAAGACACGTGTTAGGGTTTCGAATTTAAAAAAAAAAACAGAAAAGTCAAATATTGAACAGTTTCCTTCTTCTCTCTCTTCATTTCCGCAATTTCTCTTACGATTTCTCTGTAACTCTAACGGATAGAGTGTGATTTCTCTTTTCTTCGGCGATTTTTTTTGCGATTTCTTTTTGCAATATCTTATCACTTCAGATGGTTTTGTCTCCTTCATCGTCTTCAACTCCTATTTACGAATATATCCAGGTTTGTATTTGAACTCACCGAGAAAGAGAGATATTTTTATTAGAATTTCATGTCTGTGTATTTGGATAAACAATATAGGAAAACAAAATCGAGTAAAATAGGTCATATTTATGTAGTTATATGGATCAGAAAAATAAAGATTTCGGTAAAAAAGTGAGAAACATTGTTTTGCACAATGTCGAGTAATATGGAACTCGAATCACGATTATAATGTTCAATTGAGTCATATTAGGTCATATTAGTAAAGTTCTATAAATCAGAAAAATTAGAGTTTCAGTTAGAAAGTGAAAAATCATGTTTTTCACAAAGTCGAGTCATATTGAAGTTGTCACGGTGTGAGAAAATGGTCGTGCTAGTCACAATGGTCATACTTGAAAGATATAACGAGTTAGACTAGTCTGACCAAACTGGTAAAACTGGTCACAACCAGTCACACTCGTCAAACTGTATACGATGCTAATTTAGTCATATTAGTCACACTCGTCGCACCTGAATGGTATGACGAGTTTGACAAGTTTGACGAGTCTGTTAAATCTGATCACTACTGAAACAAAAGTGATAACAAATGTTAACTTTCTTTTTGCAGGTTTCTTTTGTATATGATTTTAACGACATTCATTATGTTCCCAAGATTACAACAAAGTGTTATCCGTTTCAAACTATTCGTTCTCTTAAAAAGGCTTTAACAAACGAAGAATGTACATATTTCAACAAAGAGTCACAGTTTCGACACATTTTCTATCTTCAATGTGAAGATACATTAAAGATGGTTCAGTTGTCTGTCCTTATACATCGTGCACTAAAGCTTGAAGGAAATGTGAAAGAGTTGTGGTTTATTCTGGACAGTGTACCCGTTAGATACTCGATCACCGAACATCCCATTATCTCTGGTCTAAACTGCGAAAAGTATCCAAAAGATTAGGCTGAACGCAGAAGAAGAAGACGAAGAAGAAGGTTCCGAGGAGGAGAAGGAGAAGGAGGAGGAGTTATATGGATAAAAAAATTAGGATTTCAGTTAGAAAGTGGAAATCAATATTTTTCACAGAAGATGAGTCATATGGAAGCTAAATAGTCATACTAGTCACTCTAGTCGCACTTGAATGGTGTGACCAGTTTGACTAGTCTGATAAATCTAGTTAAATGGGTCACATTCGTCAAGTGCACATACCAGTGAAATGGTTGTACGATTACACTAATCAAAGTGGTCATGAAGTTAAGTGGTTATACTAGTTACACACTCGTCGTACTTGAATAAACAGTCCATATAACAATTTTCATTAGTAACTAATATTCGCAACTCTCTGAATTTAGCACTTTATTTTGTTTTACAATACATGTTCTCCCAAAAGAAACCCCAAAATTCTAGTACACTTTTTATAACACATTAGGTTAGGGTAGATTATATTATTTTCTAATATGATTTACGAATAATAAAAACACATACCAATTACGATTAATAAAAACATGTTAAATATGTTATAATAACTCATATACACCACATTGAATATTCAAAACATTATTTAGATCGATATTTTTTTTGCACAAACCGTCTCACCGTCAGACTCG